ATTATTAGGGTTTTGTGCCATACTTTTTCCAGAAGTTTTGCAAATCAGTATTTAAATACAGAAAATAAAACATCACACTTAATTAACTGCGCTGGAATGTCTGTCAGTTATTTCCTTTAAGTTTAAATTATCTCCAAAGAAGTGCCTGGTATGGACCTAATCCTGCTGTCTTCCACAGAATACTTTGAAGATAAAAGTAAGTGATCTAGGTTCATAATTACAGAATGTGGAGAATTTGTTCTGACCCCTTGTTGCCAACGAATTTAGAATTATATGAATGGAAAATATTTTTTCTCTATCCAGGCAGAAGAATTTTATATCTAAGTCTGTCTGCAGAATTTTACTACAACAGCCAGAACAGCCTTCTTTTCCCTTCCCAGTCACTGCCCTCATATTGCCCTGCTACCAGAAAGCAAATTCACGATAAACACAAGAACTAAAACAGTCTTTCAGCCTATTCACTTTAGCGATGTCAAAGTGTCAGATGACAAGATGCTATCAATCTGAATTATACCGTCGATCTAAATGAAATCCATTAGTACATCTTGAGCAAAAGCTGCAAGCAGTTAGGGAATTTCAGCCGTCCTCTCTAAAATAAAATGTGCGCTGTTTAGAAACAACCAAATTTCAGCTTTAGCACCCAGTGAGGTGCAGCACAACCCCTTTGAAGCAGCCCTTCTCTCACAGAGAGCCAGCTGAGAGCTTTCTTTTAATGCAGTGATCTTGTCTTCTTCAATTGTCTCAACAACTACTTGTAGTGCTAACTGTTATAACTACATTTATACTGAAAGCACTGTTGTAAAATGTCAAAATTAAATTAAAACCAAACAGACATAGCGAAAACTAATAGCAATAAACCATGAAAACTAATAGGCTTCTAATAAACCCGAAAGAAAAATACATAATACTGGTGTAAGCAGTTTTCATGTAATTAATTAGATTTTATGTTGCCGGCCAGATTAATAAAGTCAAAGGGAGACAAGATTTAATATTCTGTCATAGTGAAACTGTGCAAGAGCAAAGTACATCCAATTTCTATACCAAACTCTATGATAATTCAAAATCGGACACCGCCTTAAAGTGCATCTATTAACTAAAATCCAGTATTTGAAAACGCACTATTTCGATTCGGAGTAGCCTCTAAACTCAAAATCGTCCCCATGAGCCGCCGCCGGGTACGTAGCGGGTTGAGTCCCCCACGGTCCGGCTCGGTGCCGGCGCTGTGCGGGACGGGGCGCTCCTGCGCCTGATACTCTGAGTCTTCCAGAAAAGACACATTTCCCTTCCTCACCAAATCTCTGTGCCTTTATGAAAATAGAAATTAAAAGACGGGATAGAGCACGTTGATTTAATATAGCTACGACCTAGCCGTATTTTTCACCCTCTCCGACTCCTCGAATAGTGAAACATTTGGTTTTCTGACTTCTGGGGGTTAATTTCGTTGCTGTGCCGTCGGGGGCAGTTTCGCTGTTGACTGAACCGCGACTTCTCCGCAGCCCTATCCCGAATGTCCCTGGCCGGGGGATGGCGGGCGTTTGTCCGGCGCGGAGCGACAGTGGCGAGCGCCCCGAGGCAGTGCGGATCCCCGCCCGCCGCCGGGACGGGACGGGGCGGCCCCGCCGCTCTCCGCCGGCTCAGCCGGAAAGTGTCCGGGAGGGTCTTCTCCCACTTGGCTGCGCCCAAGAGTGACAATTCCCACGCATCGCTCTGCTGTGCCTATTTTTTTTTCCTTCCTTCCTTCCTTCTTTCTTTCTTTCTTTCTTTCTTTCTTTCTTTCTTTCTTTCTTTCTTTCTTTCTTTCTTTCTTTCTTTCTTTCTTTCTTTCTTTCTTTCTTTC